CCCCAAAACCCCAAAACCCCAAAACCCCAAAACCCCAATATCCAAAATTTGGTTTGAAACTTACAATTCTAAATTAAGATCCAATTTGTCCATATTCTCAAATCACAGTAACTTATCACCAAAATTTGCTCTCCAGTATTCAACTGGGGGTCTTGCCTTACTAATCTCCTTCTCCAATATATTTCCTAAATCTTACTCCCTTTACCTACTAATTCTATTTTCCCTATCAATTTGTTCAAACTTGTTTTCCTCCTCTTTATCACCCTTTGAGCTCTTAAACTGTCAGAATCAGACTCACCTTTCGTGCTGATTTCTGGTTTCCCTTTTTACCAAGTAAGGCATTCTTCTGTGACAATTCTTGCTTATCTTTTGACTAAAATATAGGTTAGCTTCGTTTTTCGTTAAATAAATTACACAGATTTTAACCATAAACAAGGAAGGTATTTGGTGATCAAAGCCCTACTTGCTTGGCTAGAGATTAGCTCATAATATTTAACAATTAGGATGTGAATAATGGAGATATTCTTACCTTGGTAGTTACCCTTTTCTCAATGCTCTTATTTGTCATTCCTGGCTATACAGAAAATTATGCTACAAGAAGGTAGAATTTAGAAATTTACAATATGGTTTTTAAAATCCTCTTTAAATTTAGTATCATCCAAGCCAGTTGATCAAGGAATCCCAAATCTTTCAGGCAAGAAGTGAGGATGCTAAATCCTGATAAATTTAATAACACCAGTAATTAGACCTCTGGCTGAAGCTTATCAGACTGGTGTAGAAAATACGAAGGGAAGCCTTACCTTTGCTCTTAGATTAATCAGTGGCAGAATATCGTTCAGCTCAGTCACCTTATTTCCCATAAAAAGTCTAAAGGTCAGAAAAGCAGTGATACATTTATCTGAAAATCTTGGGATAAATTTTGCTTAAGGTTATCGCCTTCAATCTCATAAGATTTTATAGAAGAGCAAAAAGTGCAACGGTTGCTATATAATGAGATTAGAAGAAGCTTTAGCTGTGGTTTACCTAGTTGCGCCATTTTTCCTGAAAGACTTCCTTCCTTTGATAGAACCTGGAAGACTCTTTCAAACAACACAATAGCCTGTTTGCTGTTGTGGGGCCATCTGTATCTGATTCTTTCTGATAGTTTTCTTAGCCAAATTTGACCTGAAACTCTTTCCTGCTGGCTTCTTAATTGGATTAGCCATAGATACATGAGAGTCCTCTGAAGATGGAGATTTATGTATGCGCTTTGGAGATCTCAAGCACTTTGTGTTAGTAATTACTTTTGGCTTATTTATGATACAGAGAAGACTTCACAGGATATCTACTTCTCTCTTCATCCGAAATTTCCTGATAGTTCCTACTAAAATTAATATTGATGTTCTTTCTTCGGTCATCAAAAGAAAGACCTGACTGGAAATCAGATTTATTTAGTTGAAAGTTTGCTTAAGCTGAGGTTAGATTTGAATGAATTTAACACTTTTGTTGTAGTCTGCCTCACCAAATTCTTCAAAGCTCTATTAGTCTTCTTCTCCTTAGATTCAGTAGGATCGACCTTGTAGTCAATAAGGACCTCGTTGAGAGAGTCATCAGAAGATAATGTGTCGAGATTCATACAGTTTTTCCTTTTCAACTTCAGTTTAGGTAAAGGAGTATTTTTAAGAATATAATCAGAGCTATTCTTCAACTTCTTTATGTTCACAAATTTTTGAGTCGTGTTGAGCAGTTTGCTAAACTGCTTAGTCTTAATATCCTTGCTCTTCCCCATCAAGGTGTCATAATCAACGGTAGGGTTCATCTTCTCAACATCTTCTATTATAATATTCATAGTATTAGCAGGATCAGAAGTTTCTGAAGTTTCTCGGTGAATGTAAACCCTTTGTTGGGAATAATCCTTCTCCTTAGGATACATTGTATGCTCATTTGAATTCATTCTGTTAATTCTATTAGTAGTTTGTCGATTTAGCATAAAATTCTCTATATAAATTCCAATCATTAAAGCTATTTACTTGTATTCTTTTTCCTTCTCAAACTATCTGTATCAAAATTTGTGATTGTGTTATCAAAAGTCTGGTTTATCGTCACTCCCTCTAAGGGTTGTAGCAATTTCCAGATATGTTTCTAAAATGATTCAACAGCTAAATTACCCGATTGTCCATACTTAAAATAAAATATTGTAAAATTCCACAAGATCCTATTTACAAGGGGTTTTGGGGTTTTGGGGTTTTGGGGTTTTGGGG